ACTAGAATGTTTGTAGTGGTGCTTATTACAATAGCCTCAGACAGGAAACTCCCCAAAAGCTCATCAACAGTGAAATGGATAAACACAATGGAATACTGTACAGCCACAGTAATGAGTGATCTATAACTACCCACATCAACGTGGATGACTCTTGTCAACAGGATGGCAAGGGAAGGAAGCCAGACACAAAGGAGTATGTGCTGCATGATTCCATTTGTGTAAATAGAAAAACAAGCAATACTAATGTCTGCTTCAGAAGTCAGTGTCGTGGTCGCCCTTGGTGGTGATGGTGACAGTAAAGGAGTATTTGGGAGGGGGCTTCTGGGTAATGTTTTGTTTCTTCAGCCACGTGCTGGTTACATGAGTGTGCTCAGTCTTTGAAATTTTGTTAAGCTATACATTTATGATTTGTACACATTTTTCTATGTTATTCTTTAATTATGTTTACCTTAAAAAAAAAAGAATACCCTAAGAGAGGGCCTGTTTACTTATCCCACTTCCTGCATCCCTCATCTCAGTCCAGAGAGGTTCCCTGGAAACTGGATGCAGGAGGATGCTGGGCCTGGGTTCACAGCCAAAGATGAGAAAGAAATAAGCCCCAAGGCCTGGGGTCTTTTTGGGTGCCAAGCCATGTGCTAAGCTCTTACAGGAGTGGTCTCACAGCCCCCTCAGTTGCGCACGCGCGCACACACACACACACACACACACACACACACACACACACACCTCTAGGGGGTAGCACTACTGTTATGAGGAACAGGGCTCAGTGAGCTGACCGGCTCCAAGCCACACAACTAGTAACTGGTTGGAGCAAGATTGGAACTCAGGTTGTGTTAGCCCCAGAGCCCAGGATCTTAACCCCTTTGCTCCTCTATGATCCAGAGGAAGCAGGAGACACAAGTGATGTTGACTATGGCTCCTAGCCCTTAACTGCACACCTCTGATTCTGATTTTCTGGAGGAAAACCAGAAGGTGGATGTTAGTAGTAATCTTCCCTGCTTTCTTCTAAAGGGGTGAAGCATAGATGACCATCTTTCAATTCCCCAAATGCGCTCGCTCTCCTCTTTGGGGCTTTGCACAAGCTTTCGATTCTCCCAAAACTACTCTTCTTTTGGTCTTCACTTAGGGGCTAAAGTTGTGCTTGAGTTTGGACTTATGAGTCTGACTCACCTGGATTTGAATCCTCCTCAGTCTTCAGATCTCAGATTAGGCCTCCCTTGTTCCAGGAAGCCTTCCATGACCCCTTGCAACCTGGGCACCTTGTACGTCCCTTTTATAGCACTCCCCCACTGGACTGTAATTGTTTACATCAGACTGGCAGCTCCACATGATCAGACACACCAGCCTTGCTGCTTGCTGCTGCATCCCCAGGGCCAAGCTTGACAAATATTTGTTGAAAGAATGGAGGAAAGTGCTCTGGCAGTCATCGGATGATGGTCCACCTTGAAGGGCTGGTCCCTTTCCCATAAAGTGCAAATATCACTTGCCTGTGAGCCCGAGTTTGTTTGCTTTTTGAGCATCCTTCTTTTTTGGGGAAGAAGAGGCCAGACACTTTTCATTTATGGTTGAAGCTTATACTTTGGGTGGATCTGATCATGTGATTCTTAAGTCAAAATGCAGAGTGCTACAAAAATGCCAGGCAGGGGGCAGCATCCACATGGAGATACTGGAGGCTGTCAGAAGAAGTGGTCCCAGAAAAATGGAGGGTGAGGGTGGCCTCTGGACTTTAAGCCGCTCTGAGACCCTTTTTGTTTGTAGCTGTCTGGATTAGCAGAGACACATTCTCCTTGCTTCCCAGAGAAGAAATGTCTCCCTCTGAAGCAGGGTTTCCCAACCTCACCACTATTGATATTTTGATATAAATATTTGTTGTGGGAAATTGTCCTGTGCCTTGAAGGGTGTTTAACAGTGTAGTGGGTTGAAAAGCATCCCTGAAAATTCAGGTCCATCTGGAACCTCAGAATGTGACCTTGTTTGAAATAAAGATCTTTGTAGATGTAAATAGTTAAGGATCTTGAGATGAAATCATCTTGGATTTAGGGTTGACCCTGAATCTAATGACTAGTGTCCTTACAGAAAGAGGAGAGGTCACACAAGACCCAGGGACGAAGGCCACGTGAAGATGGAGAAGGAGATTGGCGTGATAGAGCTACATGGCAAGGAATGCCAAGGACTGCTGGGAGCCAGCAGAAGCTAGGAAGGATTCTTCCCTAGAGCCTTTGGAGGGAGTGTAGCCTTGCCAACACCTTGATTTTTGACTTCTAGCTTCCAAAATTGTGAGACAACAAATTTCTGTTGTCTTTGTGGTGTTTTGTTATGGCAGCCTTGGGAAACTAATATACTAATATTGCATACAAGCACTGTCTCTGGCTTCTATCCTCTAGAAGTCAAGAGTACCCTGCTCAGTTATAACAAACAAAAATGTCTCCAGACTTTGCAGAATGTTGCCTGGTTGAGGGAACAAAATAGTCCCCTCTCTACCCCTTGTTGAGAACCACTGTTCTAATGGGGCAAAAATGATGAGAGGACTGAGCAAAGTGGGATGAACCTGGGTTTAAATTTCAGCCCCACCCAGAAGAGCTACGTGACCTTGGGAAAGTTGCTAAACATGTCTGAACCTCAGTCTCCGCATGAGTAAAATGGGAGGTAAAAAGGTACTTGGGGGACTTCCTTGGCGGTCCAGTGGCTAGTTTTCATTTTTTTCATTTTTCAAAGCATTCTCTTGTTGCTTTATAATCGTGATAGCTGCTTTATTTAATTTCCCTTCTCTCGGGAATTCCCTGGTGGTCCAGTGTTTAAGGCTCCTCGCTTCCACTGCAGGGGGCACGGGGTCAAGCTGAGGCAATGAGGGAATATGTTGAACGTGCTTAGCACAGCGTCCAGCCCTTAGCGAACGCTCAATAAACAGTGACTGAAAGAGTAACTGGTGTTTTTATTAAGCAATACTAATATTACCTAATGGGTAATAAATATATTAAGAAATAACAATGGCAATTATCATTATTATTTACCATTTGCAAGCTGAGTCAGTTTTTCTCATCAAAATCTACTATGGACTGATGAGAAACCCGGGCAGTGGCTCTTAAAGATGGAGGAGGTGCTGGGTTTCCCAACTTGGCATCCTAGTTTCCAAACTCCTTCTTTCTCTTACTCCATCCCACTTGAGCCCAAAAGGAAGCTTGCAAGATGCACAGGGCAGTCACTTAAAATGTTTCATCCTCATTTCACAGAGGTAGAAATTGAGGGGCAAAAGCATTGAGTGACTTATCCAAGTCAAGAGGCCAGTAGCCAAGTCAGGGCTGGAATTCTGGGCCACTAAAACACTCTGCTCCTTGCTCTCCCACCTCTAAGGCACCCTTTCCCCCACTTCTTTTAGATACCTGGCACTACCTCCCTGGGCCTATCCAACTTTATGACTTGGTAGTTCCAACAGAACCCAGCTCATGGTGGGCAGGACTGGATACATACATAGTCAAGTATTCTGTCTCTACCAGGGTCTAGTAACAGGCCAGGAGCTGTTTCTTAGAAGGTGTGAAAATTCCTGCCGTGGATTGCATGGTCGGTCTTGTTCCAAAATCTCAGGTCCTGCACTGTTATTCTCCCACTGGATCTTGCTTTAAGCTTCACGCTTTTCCCACCACTAATACCTCCGACACCGTAAGGCCTGCTGTAGCCCAACTGACAGGGCTGTTGGCACCATAGGCGGACCTGCTGCAGGGCCCTTTCTTGCTTTGAGCCCTCTTGGGGCTGGCACCCATTTGTACCATGTGGTATATGAGCATATTAAGCATTGCTCCCTGAGCCCATCCCAAGAGGCCTACCAGCAGAGAGAAGGTGGTGGCAGGGCTCAGTCTCTCTGCTATCCTCTCTAGTAAGTCCACTCTGGCCCTAAAATTGTGCATCCTAAGCAGCAAAACAAGTCCTTCTTTGGACTTCAGTGACTATGTGTTGATGCTAACACATGTCTCTTGCGGGGTGGTGGGGGTCAGGGAGTGGCTGACCCTCATTCTAAGCATTTTATCACAGATTGCTTTCTAACCACATCCAGGCCCACCCTCCCTCAAAGAAGTCTGCCCATCCTGCCCTCTGTCCTCTTCCATCCTGTTGGGAGCAGACAGACTGCAACCCTGCTGCCTGGCAGATACTTGTCTGGAGGCACATGGGTGTAGGAGTCAACAGCATGGACTTGAGTTTAGCTGGAGGGTGACTCCATTCCTGGGTGGCCACTCATCTAAGCTACTATATTCCTCAGTTTCCTGATCTGTAAGAGGAAGACAATGGTACCAATTTCATAAGACTGTTTTGAGAATTAAATGAGTTAATGACTGTAAAACTGTGTGAGGCACAACGCTTGCCACCATCATCACTCCAGGTTGCAACAGCTGGTTTAGGGGCTATCTCCTCATTTAACTAGAAGACCCTTGAGGGTCAGAATGGTCTGCTCCATACATTACCCCAGGATACTCAGGACATAATACATTATCACTACTTAGAAATGTCTCTTGCATTTATACCCATTTAATAATCAGCCAAGTTTTTTCCTTCCAGGAATGCATGTTATTAGTATCCGAGAGAAACTGCAGTGAGTATGTATGAAGTGCCAGGTGGCGAACAGAGTAGAGGCCTCACCGTGAGGTGCAAGAAGCAAGACACTCCGACAAATCAAATGAACTTTCTGGGTCTTAGTTTCCCAGTTTGGAAAAAGAGAAGAATAGATACTATTACAAGGTTGCTGCAAGGATTTTCATAAACCATGCTTAACACGGTGCCAAGGGCATAGTAAGTGCTGAGCAAACAGTAGCTGTTATTATCATCATTTTAAGAATTATTGTTGAAAAAGTGAACGGTGAATGCACTTACGTGTCTAGCCAAAGCCGGTAACCTCGCTCTGGTCAGCGCGGCGCTGGGCGGGAGCGCTGGGCGGGAGCGCTGGGCGGGGCCTCCGAAGCCCCGCCCCTCCACGCACGCGTCGGGTCGCCGTGGCAACGCACTGCTAGGTCGCAGCCAGAGTGACGCGTAGCCGCTAGCCCCACGGTGCCGTCGGCCACACTCGGCCTTAACAAGGGGCTTTGACAAGGTTAGCTTCGGCAGTGATGACGGACGAGGACTCTCAGACTTCTGCCAGCGAGGCGCAAGCCCAGGATGAGAGCGAGCTGCCTGTTATCCAGCTGTGTGGGCTGGTGGAAGAGCTCAGGTACCAGCCTGCCGGCTTCTGGGGGCGGTCCCTCCTCAGCGTGTGGGCCCGGCGCGTGGTCCAGCACCGAATGCTCCAAGCCCGCATTGAACATTGAGGAAACTGAGACCCCCAAAGTGGGGAAGGCGCTTACCTTTGCTCTTTATTCCCATGTTTCCACTGCCATGGCGCTAACAAGCCACTGATGGAGCCAAAAAAAGAAGGTGGTGCGAAGCCCAGAGGGTAATTGGTGAAGCCAGAGCTTCAGCCTGGTGGGTCTTTCTGGTGCCACACTGTGTGCTTAGCCGCTCCTCTACTGTGCGGCTGCAGCTTGGACCAGGTGACCTCTAAGCCCCTTTCCAATGCTAAGATTCTATGCTAAAATTAATGTGGCAGCAGATAGAAAGGAGGCTATTGAGATGTTTTTAGTATGAAGCAACTTATATCTGAACCTGAATATAAGCATGGAGGTGGACAGCAAAGAAGGACTAGCTCAATATTCTGTATTTTTAGCAGTCTGTTTTAATATCTACTATAGCAAGTAAATTGGATGTCAAGATTCCATGATGTAGTTGAGGTTAATTGTACAACTTACTGGTCTCACACAGAATATCCTGGCCTGGCAGCTGAATAGGTGTTACTTCAATATATTTATAAATAGTTTAGGTCAGAATTGAGGTATTATTGCTAAAATAGCTGCAATCTTTTGAGTGCTTATTATGTGCCAAGTATTTTGCATATATTACCTTATAGAATGGCCCATAACCCTAGAAAGTTGTTGAGGAAACAGACACAAAAGTTAAGTCACTTTCCTACAGTCACACAACTAGTCAGTGGTAGTGCTAAGATTAAGACTCAGGTGTAACTCCCCAGCCTACATTGGGAACATGACATGCTGAAAAAGAAAGATGCTTTGATATATTGGGCTTTTCTTTTGATCCTTTCCCACTAATCCCACTAATCTTAAAATTCAGCCAAACAGGATTTCAGCTCAATAAACAGATATTCAGCTCAATAATGTATGCAAATATCAGAGCTGTTCTCTCTCATATATACATTTACATACATATGTGTGTATTACATGTATATTACATAAATTAAAAGGGTCATAATCTTGACATATACAGAATAAGATAGGTTTATTATCTCTAGTTGTTTAAAAACCATCTATTCAAAGCTTTTCCACCATTTTTAATAGACTTCTACTGGATACTTCATTGCGTGCTGGAAATGAAAGAGGCGAGAAATATAAACTAAAGGAAAAACCTCTGAAGATTGTGGATGTGTGTAATTTCAAGAATTCAGTAGTAATTCAGAAGGAAACTCACAAATGGGTTAGAAGATTCTTGAAGAAGAAACTTGTAGCAATTTAAAATATATAGGCATGTCTCACTTTATTGCATTTTGCTTTACTGCACTTTGCAGATACTGTGTTTTTTACAAAATGAAGGTTTGTGGCATCCCTGCATTGAGCAAGTCTATTGATGCCACTTTTTCCAACAGCATTTGCTCACTTCGTGTCTCTGTCACATTTTGGTAATTCTTGCAATATTTCAAACTTTTTCATTATTATTATATTTGCTATGGTGATTTGTGATCAGTGATTTTTTTTTTTGTGATCAGTGATTTTTGATGTTACTATTGCAAAACGATTATGACTCACTGAAGGCTCAGATGATGGTTAGCATTTTTTTTAGCAATAAAGTATTCTTAAAGTAAGGTATATATATATTTTTAGACGTAATGCTATTGCAGACTTAGTAGACTACAGTATAATATAAACATAACTTTATATGCACTGGAAAACCAAAAAATTTATATGACTCACTTTATTGCAATATGTGCTTTGTTGAAGTGGTCTGGAACTGAACCTGGAATATCCCTAAGGTATGCCTGTTATCCCAGTGCTCTGAATTTTGTGGCTCATTAGATGTATTTTTAAAATATATAGAATACTTAAATTGCATTTACTGTGTGCCAGACACTGACCCAAAGTCTTTGCATTTCTTATCACAACCCTCGATGATAGGTGCTGTTATTATTCCCATTTTACAGATGAGGAAAGGTGAGGCACCAAGAGGTTAAATATCTTGCAGAAGGTCATACAAAGCTAGTAAGTGTTAAATACTAGTTATTTGGGGTTTAAACTCCTATTGGTGGAACTTACTTAGGCAACTTCTGTCTTGCAGCTACGGAAACTCTGCTCTCAAAACTGAGACAGAGATGTTTGAAAAATATTACAATAAATTGGAACCCAGGGACCAGCGACCTCCACAATTATCAGAAATTAAAATATCAGGAGCAGAAATTGCACAGGTACGCAAGAGAGATCTAAGAATTCTTTTATTCTGTTTGTCCCTGTAGATGCAAGTGGTGTTTGTTATCCATTTTTGGTGTTCCCTCTTGGCCAAGTGGCATATGACTTTCTCACTGTTCTACTTTTGATTCTTCCTTCCCCTTCAAGGTTTCTCTTTCAAATGAGTATGAAGGGAATCAGGTTCAACTCACAGTGGATTGACTCTCACAGAATATCTTAGTTAATTTGAAATAACTCCCTTCATTCTGGGGACCCAAACGTGTACAAGGCCTGGCCAGCCACATACAGGAGTGAAGATGGGCCTGGTGTGGGCACTGGAGAGTTCCTCCCTCATCTAAAAGGGCCAGCCAGACAACCTGGTATTGCCAGAGCAGCTGATTTTTCAAGAGAAGCTGGAAATCTGGATTATTTTGGTAGAAACCTCTGATTTTCAAATGTGGGTAATTAATTTCTTTTTAATTTAAAACTGTGTATAGGTCTATTTTTTTGAGGGCCAAACAATGTCATCTTCAGGTCCACACATTCCCTGGGCCACCTGCTTTTGACCTCTGGCTTTAATGCCTAGGAAATCCAAAATTCTTGTCTTTTTGGTTTTTGCTGAACACCGTGGCCCCCGATGCACTTTCTCTTCTGTGTTCAGTTTGGGCAGCACTGAGCTCCAGGCTTTCCCTGACACTGACTTGAGTGCTAGTCTATTGCAGGTTCATGGTTTTTCCACCCTCAAGACACTTTCCCTTATTTATTTTCAGTTCATTGTCAAGCATAGGCCTTTGAAGTATTTGGCACGGTGCCTTAGGTTGACTTGTGAAATGAACATCACCTCAGGCCTAATATCCAGAATCCTTTCACATTGAATTGGTTCTCTCTGGATATCATTCAGAGCGATTTCTAGCAGGCCTGAGTGGTCGTTTCGATACCCACCTTAGGCTGCTTTATTGCCGATTCCTATTTGACAATGGCTTTATTTTTCTTGTCTTACAGTTACGAGGCAGGCGTAGATCCAAATCCCGCGTAAGTCTGGAACGTTTAACAGGCCTCAGCGTGGACCAAAAATTCAAGCTTGTGCAAAAAGAGCTGGACGACACAAAGAGTGAAATAAGGCACATAAGGGCAAATGCCGAGAGGGACCTGCAGCATCACGAGGTATACCTTCCTATAGGCTGTCCTCCCTGGGCTCCCCGTTTCCGCCTCAGCAATAAGTACCTATAGTATGTTCATATAACTGTTGGTGCTTTGAGAGAAACACAAGTAGGATAAGATAAATTGAGGACCTACCTTTAAGGAACTTACCAGCTGCTTGAGGAGATATCAAATTTTAAACTCTTCAAGATGAAAAATTTCGAAATACACAATTGTAGAGAAGCTAGCACAGCGAACCCTTATGTATTCAACACCCACACGTAACAGTCATCAATGCATGGCCACTCTTGTTCCCTCCGTAACCCTACCAACTTCCCCCTCGTAATAGGCCACTGGGCTATTATGAAGTGAATCTTAAACATATCATTTATCTGTAAATATTTCAATATATGTCTCTAAGATATGGATTCTTTTTAAAAAAAACCCATAACCATAATTACCATAAATACCCTTAAAATTTATAATAATTTCTTAACAATAAAATGGGCTGGAGGTTTAAGTCAGTGAGTTGGATGAAAAATCCCTTGTCACCCTCCATATGCAGCGTCCATGACCATGGTTCACGTCTTGTTGGAGACGACTGCAATCAGTTTTCCTCCAGAGAAGAAACATCGCTGTTAACTTGGTTGTCCATGGGATGAAGTTGTTGGCTTGCATTTGGTAGCCATGTTGTATGAAAAATAGATATTTCTGTTCTATTTCTAAATTTTTCCATTTCTAAATGGAGGCACACACAGAATCACACTCATTTCCTTGAAAGAGATGGATCAGTGGACTCATGTCTCCATTGATAGAATCATCTGTACTGCATAAACCTATCCTTCTTTCCCTCTCTCCCTGTCTCCCTCCCTCCTGCCCTTTCCCCTCTCTTCTTCTTTCTCTTCCCAAACATCCATCGTTGAATTCTAACATGTTAAAGGAGGTCAGGATGTGGTAGCTTTGTCCTGACATGCTAGACTGTGTGATTAAACATCACAATGTGGGCTAGAGTGGTCAAAGAAGACTGTGTTGAGGAGGTGGGGCTTGACATAGGACTTGTCATGGCCTTGAAGAATGGTGGCATCTGTTTAAGGAATAGGAAGACAAGGGCACCCTAGGTGAGGTGAATGACATGAACAAGGAAGTGGAGGTAGGAATGAACATGGCAAGTTAGGACCTTGAGGAGGCTGGTGTGATTAGAGAAGAGGGTGCTTTGGGGGCTATGGTAGGAAATCAGGTCGAGTAGGGCTGTGAGACCTCGAAAGCCAAGCAGGGGGGCTTCTCTTTGATGTCTAGAAATCAGGACCCCAGTGAGGATAACTGAGCAGAAGAGCGATGCACAGGAAGTAGCATTTAAGGTGGATGGATGTTCTGGCCTGTGAAGATGATGGGGAGGGAGGAGGCTGGGGCCAGACGCCGGCCGGAGAAGGAAGATGCTTTTGCTTCTTGGTGCCCAGTGAAAAAGCCTGAACAAAGATGATTTGCTCTGCAGCTACTCATTTCGTTCTTTAAAATAATGTATGTGTGTTTGTGTTTTCTTATTTAAAGACAATCTCTGTTGTAGCAAAATTTAAACATACAGGTAAGCTAAAAGAGGAACATTTGAAAACATCCACAGCCTTACCACCTAAGACTTGTATTTGGCTCTTGTATTTTTCTCCTAGAATTTATATTATTTTCTATGTGTGTATGAATTTCTTTATAAAAAGGTATCATATTATTTTATAAACCATACTTTTCACTTAATAATATCTTTCCATATCAATACATAGATTCATTTATAGCGTCTTTTTTAAAATTATAGAGTGCTTCTTTGCCTCTCCACTAATCCATCTTTCCAGATATGATTGTGATTAATGTTTTGGCGTATAGCCTTCCAGATATTTTTTATATATATGATATGATATTAATGTTATAATTTTTAATGGATAAATAATGTTTCAGATATGGAAATACATATTTCTGGAGATACCCAAGGCCCTGCTTTTTTGGTTTTTTTTTTTTAAATCCACCCTCATCACCTCTTTTTTTTTTTTTTTTAATTTATTTATGTTTGGCTGCGTTGGGTCTTCATTGTTGCTCGCGGGCTTTGTCTAGTTGCGGCGAGCGGGAGCTACTCTTCGTTGTGGTGTGTGGGCTTCTCATCGTGGTGGCTTCTCCTGTTGCAGAGCATGGGCTCTAGGTGTGCGAGCTTCAGTAGTTGTGGCACAAGGGCTCAGTATTTGTGGCTCGCGGGCTCTAGAGCCCAGGCTCAGTAGTTGTGGTACATGGGCTTAGTTGCTCCGCAGCATGTGGGATCTTCCCGAGCCAGGGCTCAAACCCGTGTCCCCTGCATTGGCAGGCGGATTCTTAACCACTGCACCAGCAGGGAAGTCCCAAGGCCCTGTTTTTGTTTGTTCTTCCCCTTTATATCGAGACTATAACTTTTTAGAGGCATGCTTTTAAATAATAATATTCGTATTGTCCAATTTGTATCTTAAGGATATCTTTCTAAGACTAAGAAGAAACGTTATGCATTGGGACACAAATAGGTCACCCAATACATCTAGGTTTCTTTAGACAGCTATATCCTTGAGAAATTTTGTAAACTGTTCTCTCTTTGTGCTGGCTCCCCCAGGCTATCGTTGAGGAAGCTGAAATTCGGTGGACTGAAGTTCAGAGAGAAGTGCATGAGTTTGAAAAAGATATTCTAAAGACCATATCCAAGAAGAAAGGGAGTATTTTGGCCACTCAGAAAGTGATGAAGTACATTGAGGACGTGAACCGCCGGAGGGTGAGTGGGCAGGAGGTTAGAGCTTAGAGGGGGAAATAGATTCATAGAACGATGACACAGAAGTGGCCCACGTGAGGCAGCCCCACTCCATTTGGTCCACTGTAAATGCTGCCCACATATGCAGATTTTTTGTATCCCTCACAGCATGTGTGTCTTAAAATGCAAGTTTATCAAGTCTAAAATGTCAGGCAGGATGAATATTCATAGTATCTCAGACCGTATGTAAGTCCCCTACATAGGAACCTTCAGGTTGCGAACTTTCAAAGATGTGAACCTGCATTATAAACCTACAGTACAGTACTATATACAGCTGATTGTGTTGGTTGGGTACCTAGGCTAACTTTGTTGGACGTACAAACAGATTGGACTTATGACCACGCTCTCGGAATGGAACTCGTTCATATGTAGGGGACTTACTGTATTTTGCTGTTTGTTTCAAGATCTGATGTTATCTCGAGAAAGGTGTGAGTCTATCTAGTCAGGTGACTACGTGGCATGTGACAAGTAAATCTTAATTTCTTTGAGTTCCATTATTGTAAGAATGAGACATAAAATGCTCCTCCTTTTCCAAAGGTTTTGTAGCATATCAAACTTTGGATCCTGGAGATAGGTAAAGTCACTAACTGTAACATGTTATATGTAATAAAAATTATGTAAATTACCAAGAGAATAATAGACCAAAGAATCGTAAATCATTTTGTCAGTAAAGGCCCCTATACCTAAAGATATACCCAAGTTATCTTGAATTTAAAATCAATAGAAAATTTGTATGGAGCAGACGCAGTTTCCTCTGCTTCTTGGTCATGAGTAAAATACCATAGTAACACCAGCTTGAGTAGCCATAAAAGACTTAAAAATAGGTGACTGAATGTTAGGGCTCAAGGTTTAGTTTTGCAGCCCCAGACCTGCCAACTTTTCAAACCAACAGGGAAGAAGAAGAGCAATGGATTAAAATTTGCTTTTATTTTTCAGGATAATATGAAGGATAAATTATGTTTGAAAAATGTCTCTCTCAAAGTCCAGAGGAAAAAGATGCTTTTACAACTGAGGCAGGTATGTGGCTTTGTCTTTCTTTTTTTTTTAAGGTTACTGTGGTGGGTAGAACAACATCTTCCCAAAGATGTCCACGTCCTAATTCCTGGAGTCTGTGAGTATGTTACCTTACATGGCATAAAGATGGTGCAGGTGTGATTAAGTCAAGGATCTTGAGATGGGGAGTTTATTGTAGATTATCTGAGTGGGTCCAATGTAATCACAAGGGTCCTGATGAGAGGGAGGCAGGAGAATGAGAGTCAGAGAAGATTTGGTAATGGAAGCGGAGATCAGAGTGATGCACTTTTAAGACAGAGGAAGGGATTATGAACAAAGGATGCAGGCTACCTGCAGAAGCTGGAAAGGGCAAGGAAACAGATTCTCCTCTTGAGCCTCCAGAAGAAATGCAGCCCTGCCAACACCTTGATTTTAGTCCAAAGGACCATTTCAGACTTCTGACCTCATGCACTATAAGATAATACATTTATGTTGTTTTAAACCCTTGAATTTGTGGTCATTTGTTACAGCAGCAACAGGAAACTAATACATCGTCTGTGCTGGCAAATCTATAGATGGAGTTGGCTTGAATTTAAAAGACCCTCATGACATACTTATTGACCCTTTTGGGGAATGTGGCCTGGGTGGCACAGTTAGTAGTATGCCTTGGTAAGTCTTTGAACAGCTGACCTTAAAGGCTCCTGATTAAAGGCGGTAAGGCAGACATGGCACAGGGCCTCTAGAATGTGGTTACATAGGTCCATCCTCTTTTAGCTCAATATTTTTGTTACTAACTCATTATATGGGTGCTGATGGCATGTGCGTCAGAGGTGGCCACTGTCAGTGACACAGAGTTGGGCAGGAAAATTAAGATGTCTGGGAGTTACTGCTTGATTGACTTGGGATCCCAAAGCCTCAACAGGCTGGGACAACTTTAACATACGAGGTAACTAAGGACAAACGTAAGGTCCTCCACTTTGATCCCCTCAAATATCTGCACAGGTGCTGGGTGGCTTAGTCATGGAGAAGTTGATAAAGTCCACTCAGCTGGGGGCGGTGCTGCAGCCTAGGCTGCACTCCACAGTACCCTCCAAAAAAGAGTGGTCTCACTGCACTCTGTTCTGAGTAGCCCACCTGGAGCACTGTCTCAGGGAGAGTGCCACACTTGAAAGAATCTGTAAACTAGAGTCCACATAGGAGAGGGAACGGAGAGCAAGGGGAGAGAAAGCACCTCAGAGGACCTGCAACTGATGGGGCCAAGGAGGAGGAGCCCACAAGAGCCATGGCTGCTGTCTCTGAGTGCTCTGGCCGCTGAGGGGAAGAGAACATACTGCTTAGGAGGGCCCCCAGGTGGAGCTGGGTTGGGGTGAAAGTGTCAGCCAAGGAGAGTTGAGTTCAGCGTAAGAAAGAACGTGGCCCCAGCTGAGCTGCCTCCTGATACTGAGTTCCTAGTTCTCTGGGCTTCATGCAAGCTCAGGCATCCTGAAGTGTGAGAGGGGAAGCAGATGGATGACCTTTAACCTAAAAGCCATTGCTACACAGAGATGATACTGATGTGGTCCTGCCCTCGCAGGCTCACAGGCTAGCAGGGAGTGGTGATGGTGAGAAAAGGCATGGATGCATAATTGCCATACAGAGGAAAGAGGGGCAGGGACCAGGAGCCACAGCTCAGGAGGCTGCGTGGAGGGAGGGGTTGCCCTCTGGTGCGGAAGATGGGCTGGGAACATTTGAGCTAGAGGGTGGGTCAGTTGGGGCTTAAGGAAATTGTTCTGTTGTTTTGGGGGAAAGGGAAGAAGATGCCTTCTAGGAGGTAGTACAGCATGAGTAGCATGTGGGGATTGGGAACAGACCTGAGTTTGGCTCTTGTGTACCACAAATGTAAGATGGCACAGACCCGGTGGGGCAGGTAAGGTGGGACCAGGGCTGGGGAGTGAACCCAGTGCCCTGATACACCCCCCATGCAGAAATGTCATGGGATCAAAGGAAGGACATTTATGGGCTGCTTATCCTGGGTTTTCCAGGTTAAAAACAACTTTTAAATGGCCTTTCTTCCTACACAGCCCTGTTTAGGCACCACTTCCTAGGGAAAGTCTCCCCTGACCCAGCCTTCCATTCTCTTCTGGGCTGGCTGAGGGGCTTCTGTTTGCCCTCTGCCCCTGTGTGTCCCACTACACCACGCTATGACCCGTCTGTGAACTGTCATTGAGTATGGGCGTATCATATTTACTCAGATCTCTATCCCTGGGCCTAACACCATGCCTGGCACCAAGCAGATCCCCAATCCAACTTTGTTGAATGACTGAATGATGACTGACTTCCAAAAGCTCACTAGGAGTTGCAAGGTGCGAGCCATACATTCAGAAGTCACAACCTCACATCGTTTCCTCTCTCTGAGCTGTAGAAGGAAGAGGTGGGAGAGGCCCTCCGCGATGTTGACTTTCAGCAGCTGAAGATCAAGAATGCTCAGTTTTTAGAGACAATTGAAGCAAGGAATCAAGAACTGATCCAGCTGAAGCTTGTATCCAGAAACACCCTGCAGATCCTTAACGCGTACAAAGTAAGGTCCGCGCTGGTCCTCGGGGCTTCCTGTGCCTACCTTTCCAGCCACAGAGAGGTACTAGGGCACCACTGTGGTTTCACTGAGAGCCTAGGCGTCCTTCACTCCCCTGTTGCTCTCTGATTTCTCCCGACGAAGCCATGTCTTCTAAAATACTCTGGATGTCCCCACAATCCTGGCTGCACATTAGAACCATCCAAGGAGCCTTTTGTTTTTTTAAAGATTAGACAGACTCTGTAGTCCAACCCTGACCAATTGAATTAGGGGGTGAGGGCCATGCATCTTTTTTTTTTTCCTTAACTCCCAGATGATTTTTATGCACAGTGAGTTTTGATAACCAGCCACATTTAGGGCCCTGTTTAATTTAGTGTGTAAAAGCACTTCCTTGCTTAAAACCCTGCAAAGGAAATCATCTTAGCTATAAATCAGAAAACTACTAAATAATTCCTAATCCACACAGAACCCTTTTTGTAGAGAAAGAGGCACTATTGATAATTAAGCAGAAACCGTGGGTATGAGCATGGCCTGTCCTCGGCAGACCAGCTGCCTGGTCACCCTGCTGGCAACTGTCTGATGCAATAGTCAGCTAACTGTGGGCCCGTGTATCCTGCCCACTGGTCTGGGAGCTAAGGATGGTTTTTACAGAAGAACATTTGCAACTGATTTGATAGAGGACACTCCCTTTGAAACCCAATTAAGCAAAATTGATTTCTCCCCGAGAAATTTCATTCTTCTCAATAATAGACCTGCATTCCAAAATATTATACTTGATTATTTTATTTTGAATTTTATCAATAAAACATTTGTGGAAATTTGTTTTCTCTCTTGTTAGTGTAGGTAATTACACAATATGCTCAATTTTGCCCCTTGGCCTGCAAAGCCTAAAATATTTACTATCTGGCCTTTTACAGAGCAAGGTTGCTGACCCCTGGCCTAGTGTCTAGGCAAGAGCGGCCACGGGCTTAGGTAGCTCACAGGTAAGCTTCATTTGGCCCACACAGTGTCATTTAAAAATGTGAATTTGAATGTGTTTAGACTAGGTTTATGTTTGTCCAGCATTTTCCTTTTACAAATGAAAAACCTAAGGCCGAAAGAGGCAGAGTAATTGCCGGATTCAAGCAACATGTTTGTGACAGAGCTTGGACTCCTAGTCCAGTGCGTGTCCCACCTCACCCAACTGCCTTCCTCTGGCATAACGTGTGTACACAAGGCCGTGCTCACATTCTGAAATTCATGTGTCCAGCTGGAGTGCCTCGAGGTACGTGGTTACATCACATTGGACCTTGATCTTATCCTGAAAAATCAACTGAGTGGCACGGCCAGTCTGGTCTTGTGGGGGAAAGCCAGGGCTTTGGAGTGGAGCTACTGGTTTATAAAATGCAACAGCTAGGTCCAGGGCTCGCGCTGCTTAGGACATCTAAATGCACAGTGCCTATTGATTGTGACACCCAAACAGCGGCAACACAGGCCACGGTGGGCAGAATGGGAGCCATTCTGGTCAGAATCTCAGGGGCCAGGGTGCCTGTAGGCCTGTTTAGAATAATAGCAAGCAGATGGTGGAGCAGGGAGGAGATGCCTGCTGGAGTTCTAAGGTGACACAGCGAGGGGCTGAGAGAGAAGCAGGCTCACTTTTCCGTGTCTCAGTTCTCAGGCCTCCTGGGGGAAACGGGGCCCAACAACTGTGGGTTGTAGAGTCCGGCCTCACCTGGGTTTGAATGGGGACTCTACTGGGGACTATGGGCTGATGCGTCGCCTCTCAGAAGCAGGTTTTTGTGACTTACCACCAGGCCAGACCTCTGGCTGGTCTGTGATGTGTCCCCAGCCCTGAGGACAGGGCCTGGCCAAAGCAGGTGCTCAGCATGTATTGTCAAAAACTGCTAAAAATTCAGGTGTATGTTTAGGGGATGGAAGGGTGGCAGGAGGGATCACTTTCATATAAATGTCAAACACCCAAGTATGAGACCTCATTAAAAATATATAGAATAATTTTCCTCTATTACCAAATGTACTGAGTACCTACAGCATGCCAGGCACAGGGCTAAGTGCTGAGGGTACAGCTGTGAAGGAGACAGACATGGTCTCTTCTCTTCTATGAGTTTTATAAGTGGGTCTCAGTCAACCCTTTTTCTCTGCTATGGCTTCAAGCCCTGCCTGATGGAGGCTGATAGAATATAAGCACGTGACTACAGCTTTGAGGTGTCGCTCTTAACTGACTGTAAACTAGTGATCTGTGTATAAGCTAGTGGTGCCTTGTGTTAAATAGAATTCCAAGATGTCCCCCAAGACTCCCCACCGCCTGGTATATTCACCCTGCACAATGCCCAGGGCTCTGGATACGACGGATTCTGTTATTAGGTTCCATTCTGCTCTATGATTAGGTTAGATTAGAGGGCACCCTTGACCTTGAGATGAGGATATTATCCCAGTGTGTCTGACCTAATCACATGAGCCCTTTGAAAGTAGAGAGTTTTCTCTGGATGAGGAAGGCAGAGATTTGAAGCATGAAGGGAATTCTCTGGATGAGAAGTTCTCCATTGCCGGCTCGAAGATAGAGGGACCACATGGAAGGGGTCTGAGGGCGACCTCCAGGAGCCGAGGGCCACCTCCTGCTGACAGCCAGAAAGAAAATGGAGAGCTCGGTCTTACAACTTCAAGGAAATGCTTCCCACCAACAACCTGTGGGCTTGGCAAGGATCCCAGGTCCAGATAAGACCCAGCCCTGGCCCACACGGTGGGTCGCTCCCTGGGCAGAGAATCCAGCCACACTGTGCTTGGACTTCTGATCTATAGAAACTGTGAGATAATAAATGTATGTTACCTTAAGCCACAAAATTTGTGATAATTTGTTACACAGCAACAGAAAGCTAACATGCCTTTTCAGAAGTAGCTGCCTCAATGACCATCATCCGGCTCAGGATCCCAAATTACTCTCATTACACCTCCTTGAAGGCCCCACCCCAGCAGAGCCAGGGGCTGCCTCGAGCTTCCGTTCTTTGCTGCCCTGTGTCTCTAACTGTCTCTCTAAGTTGTTGGGTGAATGACTGTTTTCCCTCTGCTCTCCTTTTCTCCCACCTGACTGGCTGGTGTGCAGTGAAGATCTGTCCTGCCTTCCCTTCCCCACAGCTGACCCCCTCAGCCTGGCCTCTTATCCACTTTTGCTTTCCTCAGAAGAGCAACTTCACGCAAGATGTGGAACAGGAAATGAGCCTTAAAGAAGAGATTGGAGAGGAGAGGAATGGGGAGGGAGGTGGCCCCAGGTGCTCTAAGTTCCCCCAGGCAGGTGGCTCCAGGCTTTTCTGCCAGGTCTAAGATTTGATACCTTTGGGCATTGCCCCAGTACCCTCCTTTCCCCGGCTCCTTTTGGACCCTCCTGTCCCAAGGCTCTTTCCTTAGCTTGAAACGTTCTTCCCACCCCTCTTACCTAGACATACTTGACTTCACCTCTTTTTCCAGCATCCCTTCCCCCAGGGAAACCTTCGGGACCAGTGCCCATGCACTCTTGGTGCTTGGCACAGTTGCAGTTTGGCATTTCTTCTTGTACCTCCGTCAGGGCTGTGAGCCGGCCTCTTGGTGATCGGGCCTAGGTTGTTTTGCCGACCAGTGCCTGGGTGGGTTCTCAGGGTTTGTTGGCCAGCCTGCTGGAGTCACTGGCTTCTGTCCCTCGGCCCCCTTCTCCTCAGCCAAGCAGAGCACATCCCAACTCCTCCAGGTTGACTCTTCACCATTAGTAGATGGAGGTCCAAAGGGGGCAAACCTAAGAAGCAGGGGCCAGGGAGGAGCTGGTGAGGGGCGGCAGCAAAAGATGCAACAGGAAGCTGTGGAGCAGCCCCTGCAGAAGCTCTCCAGCACCAGCAGGCCCAGTCCTCATAGGCTTTGGAGACAGTGGTGGAGTCCATGGGCTGTGAAATCACGCTGCCTGGGATCAAACCTGGCTCCCCCTTGTCTCTGTGACCCTGGGGAAGTTGTTTCACCTCCCTAAAAGTCGGCTCCGTCACCTGTACAGTGGGATCACAGTAGCATCCACCTCTTCATCCAAGTGAGGTAGTGATGGCGGCCGTCTGCTGTGGGTTCTCCATGTGTCAGGCACTGTGCTCAACACTTTACCAGGTTTGTCTCCCTTAAGCCTTTCTACAACCCTACAAGGCAACTAGCCCTAGTTAAGAGAGGTTCTCTTAGTAAGTGGTGGGGTGGGATTTGGGTGCAGGTGTATCTGGCTACTTTGCAGGTGAGGACAAGCCTCACGAGGTCCTCTCCTCCCATTTAGACACTAGGATTCTGAAAATCTGGGCAGCCATGAGAAGGGCAGGCCCGAGTTCCTGGTTGGTCCTTCTATTCTCCTGCTTAATAAAGAACTGTTTGTCTATCCTTCCTGTAGTTCTAAGCAATCATCTTTGCTCAAGACTTGCTGTGTTATATTTCAGAGCAAGCTACACCGAGCCATGGAAATGTCCGTCGATCTGGACAAAGAGTTCTTGTTGAGAAAAGAGTTACTTGAAAAAGTTGAAAAAGAAACCCTGCAAGTAGAGGAGGTAGGAGAGGGTAAAACATACTGTTTCTGGTGTTTTTCTCCTTCTGTCTGCAAGGGCTCGGGTCAGCATTCACCACGATCTAGGCCACCTTGGTTTTTGTCTAGAAAAGCCTAGATCATGAAAACCAAAATAGCTCTGGGCCATCAAATGAGAAAGTGGCCCCTGGAGGCTCCAGTCCATGGTGTTGCATTTTACTGCCAGGTTAGAATCTAATGTCAGAAATCATGAAATCATCTAGAAACTACAGAGTCCAGATGACTCTCAAGAATTCCTTAAGTGACCCATAAGGTACCAAATTCAAAGTGTAGTGTATTCAATCTGGCAAAAAAAATGTATGATGCATGTAATAATGTAACTGATATGAGAAAAAGAACACATGGCAAAATATAACTTTCTGTGTAAAGGAGAGAAAACTCTTTAAACATGGAGCTCTCACTAGGTACGGCAGATGCTCGGATGGCAGACCTGTGACCTCTATCCCAGGCCCACTCCAGGGCCTGTGGTCACCATGTGAAAATGTGTGGTGTCATCTGAGCTCCCAATATCTGCATTGGGATTGAGTGCTCTCATTATTTTGTTGAACACATAGAGTTGAATTTCCACCAGTTACACGCACCTAGGGTATGACTCAAAGGAGACTTTGGGGGCTAGGTGACGGAAAATGAGCCCTGGACTTGTATTCAGAAGGCCTGGCATCAGGTTTGTGTTGACAGTCTCTAGCCTTGAGCAAGCCTTTGAATTAGACAGAACTGTTTCCACGTCTGTGAAAAAGACGTCACAGCCCTTGTTGCGGTAATCAGATAGGACGATGCTTTGTCAACCTCTTAAAGCCATTATTTCAGTTATTACTATCATTGCCTTGAATGAGCCTGAAGTGTCCCCGGCAGCATGTGTGGCCCCAAACCTGCCTACAATGGCCAAAAAGCCACAGGATTACTACATCTGACTCAGTTTTGCCATGGCATCCGCATCATATCCTTGAAGGAGAACCAGTACCCTTTGCAAAAAAGTCGGTCTTGCTGCAGAGTGGCCGGTAACAAAGGTGAAGCAAAAGTCTGTGTGCTCTCTCCATGCAGAATTCCTGTGGTACTTCTTTGTTTGGGATGATATTTATCAGATTACAAGTAAAACATGAAATCAATTTTTAAAAGCCCAGCATTCACTACTTAGTATATTTTCATTTTCTTAACTTTTTAAAAAACAGGTCTGTTGGGATATAATTCATATATCAAATAATTTACCAATTTAAAGTGTACATTTGAGTGGTTTATAGTATATTCACAGAGTTGTGTAACAATCAGCATAATTATTTTAGAACATTTTCATCACCTCAGAAAGAAACCCCAGACCAATTAGAAATCCTCCCTTTCACCTCACCTCATTCCCACCCTCCAGCCATAGGTGACTACTAATCAGCTTTCTGTCTCTGTGAATTTGCCTTTTGTCAACCTTTCATATAAAAGGAATCATACAGTGTGACCCTTTAACTTTAATAATATTTTCAAGATTCATGTTATAGCATGTATCAGTACTTGTTTCTTTTTATGGCTGAATAATGTTTCCTTGCATGTACCACATTTTGTTTAAACCATTCATCAGTTTGATTGATAGTTGTGTTGTTTTCGTTTTTTGGCTATTTTGAATAATGCTGCTGTGAACATTCATGTACAAGTTTTTGTGTGAATATATGTTTTCTTTTTTCTTGGACATATAGCTAACAGTGGAATTGTGGGTTATATATATGGTACCTCTAGGTTTAACATTTACAGAACTGCCAAACTCTTTTGCAAAGTGGCTGCACCATTTTACATTCCCATAGAAAATGTACATGTGTCACAGTTATTTATTTTATTTAATCCTTATAATAAACTTGAGGCAAGTAACATTTTTATCCTCATTTCATTGTATATATAACTTCAGACACAGAAATATTGTTTACTTTTTCCAAGTCTCACCTCTATTACGTGCAGATCAGCAATTCAAACCCAGGCTCAGACTCTTAGATCTTAATCACTTGATTTATTCACAGCCATGAATCTGCTATCCTGTAGTCATACATGCATCCCTTCAACAATACTTATGTGCCAAGAATTGCTCTGAATAAAGTGATTAAGATTTTAAAAAATGTACGCATGTGACATTCACAGAAAGATAGACAAGATGAAAAGGCAGAGGGTTATGTACCAGATGAAGGAACAAGATAAAACCGCAGAAAAACAACTAAATGAAATGGAGATAGGCAATCTTCCAGAAAAAGAACTGAGAATAATGATAGTGAAGATGATCCAAGACCTGGGAAAAACAATGGAGGCAAAGATCAATAAGATGCAAGAAATGTTTAACAAACACCTAGAAGAATTAAAGAACAAACAAACAGAGATGAACAATACAATAACTGAAGTGAAAAATACACTAGAAGGAATCAATAGCAGAATAACTGAGGCAGAAGAACGGATAAGTGACCTGGAAGACAGAGTGGTGGAATTCACTGCTGCAGAACAGAATAAAGAAAAAAGAATGAAAAGAAATGAAGACAGCCTAAGAGACCTCTGGGACAACATTAAATGTAACAACATTCGCATGATAGGGGTCCCAGAAGGAGAAGAGAGAGAGAAAGGACCCTAGAAAATATTTGAAGAGATTATAGTCGAAAACTTCCCTAGCATTGGGAAGGAAATAGCCACCCAAGTCCAGGAAGAACAGAGAGTCCCATAAAGGATAAACCCAAGGAGAAACACGCCGAGACAAATAGTAATCAAATTGGCAAAAATTAAAGACAAAGAAAAATTATTGAAAGCAGTAACGGAAAAATGACAACATACAAGGGAACTCCCATAAGGTTAACAGCTGATTTCTCAGCAGAAACTCTACAAGCCAGAAGGGAGTGGCATGATATACTTAAAGAGAGGAAAGGGAAGAACGTACAAACCAGATTACTCTACCTGGCAAGGATCTCATTCAGATTCGATGGATAAATCAAAAGCTTTACAGACAAGCAAAAGCTAAGAGAATTCAGCACCACCAAACCAGCTCTACAACAAATACTAAAGGAACTTCTCTAAGTGGGAAACACAAGAGAAGAAAAGGACCTACAAAAGCAAACCCAAAACAATTAAGAAAATGGTCATAGGAACATGAATGGATTAAATGCTCCAACCAAAAGACACAGGCTTGCTGAATGGATACAAAAACAAGACCCATATATATGCTGTCTACAAGAGACCCACTTCAGACCTAGGGACACATACAGACTGAAAGTGAGGGGATGGAAAAAGATATTCTATGCAAGTGAAATCAAAAGAAGGCTGGAGCAGCAATACTCATATCAGATAAAATAGACTTTAAAGAATGTTACAAGAGACAAAGAAGAGGATATAACAATTATAAATATATATGCACCCAACATAGGAGAACCTCAATACATAAGGCAACTGCTAACAGCTCTAAAAGAGGAAATCGACAGTAGCACAATAATAGTGGGGGACTTTAACACCTCACTTACACCAATGGACAGATCATCCAAACAGAAAATTAATAAGGAAATAGAAGTTTTAAATGACACAATAGACCAGATAGATTTAATTGATATTTTTAGGACATTCCATCCAAAAACAGCTAGATTACACTTTCTTCTCAAGTGTGCATGGAACATTCTCCAGGATAGATCACATCTTGGGTCACAAATCAAGCCTCAGTAAATTTAAGAAAATTGAAATCATATCAAGCATCTTTTCTGACCAAAACGCTATGAGATTAGAAATCGATTACAGGGGAAAAAAACGTAAAAAACACAAACACATGGAGGCTAAACAATACATTACCAAGGCTAAACAATACATAACCAAGATATCACAAAGAAATCAAAGAGGAAATCAAAAAATACCTAGACACAAATGACAATGAAAACACGACGATCCAAAACCTATGGGATGCAGCAAAAGCAGTTCTAAGAGGGAAGTTTGTAGCTATACAAGCCTACCTCAAGAAACAAGAAACATCTCAAATAAACAACCTAACCTTGCACCTAAAGCAATTAGAGAAAGAAGAACAAAAAACCCCCAAAGTTAGCAGAAGGAAAGAAATCATAAAGATGAGATCAGAAATAAATGAGAAAGACAGGAAGGAAACGGTAGCAAAGATCAATAAAACTAAAAGCTGGTTCTTTGAGAAGATAAACAAAATTGATAAACCATTAGCCAGACTCATCAAGAAAAAGAGGGAGAGGACTCAAATCAATAAAATTAGAAATGAAAAAGGAGAAGTTACAACAGACACTGCAGAAATACAAAGCATCCTAAGAGACTACTACAAGCAACTCTATGCCAATAAAATGGACAACCTGGAAGAAATGGACAAATCCTTAGAAAGGTATAACCTTCCAAGACTGAACCAGGAAGAAATAGAAAATATGAACAGACGAATCACAAGTAATGAAATTGCAACGGTGATTAAAAATCTCCACCAAACAAAAGCCCAGGGCCAGATGGCTTCACAGGTGAATTCTATCAAACATTTAAAGAGCTAACACCCATCCTTCTCAAACTCTTCCAAAAAATTGCTGAGGAAGGAAAACCCCCAAACTCATTCTATGAGGCCACCATCACCCTGTTACCAAAACCAGACAAAGATACTACAGAAAAAGAAAATTAGAGACCAATATGACTGATGAATATAGATGCAAAAATCCTCAACAAAATACTAGCAAACAGAATCCAACAACACATTAAAAGGATCATACACCATGATCAAGTGGGATTTATCCTAGGATTGCAAGAATTTTTCAATGTACGCAAATCAATCAACGTGATACACCTTATTAACAGATTGAAAAAGAAAAACCATATGATCATCTCAATAGTTGCAGAAAAAGCATTTGACAAAATTCAACACCCATTTATGATAAAAACTCTCCAGAAAGTGGGCATAGAGTGAACCTACCTCAACATAATAAAGGCCATATACAACAAACCCACAGCAAACATCATTCTCAATGGTGAAAA